CACACAGGGCCTCCCCCTCGCCGTCACACCTGCACACAGGGCCTCCCCCTCGCCGTCACACTTGCACACAGGGCTTCCCCCTCGCTGTCACACAGGGCCTCCCCCTCGCCGTCACACCTGCACACAGGGCCTCCCCCTCGCCGTCACACCTGCACACGGGGCCTCCCCCTCGCCGTCACACACACAGGGCCTCCCCCTCGCCGTCACACCTGCACGTAGAGCCTCCTTCCTGGAGGCTGGGGCTTCACTGTCAAGCGGTGCGGTCAGTGACGGGCCGGGTGGGGTTGGGGGAGTGTGCAGCCCAGGGACACTGTGGTGGGGGGCTGGGATCAGGGCCTTCCAGGTGGAGGAACCAGCCTGAGCCAGGCTCAGAGATGAGCACTCAGGGCCCAAGGCAGGCCCCTCTGGGGGCTGAGTCGCGAGGAGAGTGACTGGAGGTGAAGTGGTTTGCGATCTGAGTCAGCTGCAGTCAGGATTTGGGGTTTACGTCGAGGTCCTGTTTTAGACTGCTCACTCTAGTGCTGCAGGGAGGGCATGGGGAGGCCAGGGGTGGGGGGTATGGGGACAGCCTTCTGTCCACCAGTCTCCACTTCCTGACGAGCCCCGGGTAGCGTTGCTGTCTAGGCCAGCAGCCCCTGCCTCTGGGTGCCAGTGGGGACTGCAAGCTGGTGGCCTAATGTGTGTCCCAGGCCACCAGCCCCTCAGCCCTGACATCCTGACTCTCTGTGCCCCACCCTGACACTGCCTGTCCCCCTAGCTGTTTCAGAAGTGCTGCCTGGTACAGAGGATCCTGGAGGCCTGGGAAGCCAACGACCACACACAGTGAGAGCCCCGCTGGGAGGGCAGGGGGCTGGCTCGGGGCGGGCAGTTGACATGGCTGCAGGGCAGCCTTGGAGACTTGTACAAAGATGTGTCCTGTCTCCTGGAAACAGCTCCACAAGCCGACCAGGGAGGTCAGAGCATGGGCAAAGCCAGAAGAGAGAGGCAGGACCAGGCAGGGGATTCAGCAGGGGATTCAGCCTGGGGAGGGTCAGCCGGGAGGTCGTCTGGGGGCCCATCCAGGGAGTGAGCTGGGGGACAGGGAAGTGGAGGGGTGTCAGCCGGTTGGGGGCGAGCTTGTGGGGCTCAGCCTGAGGGGAGGCTAGTCTCCCAGTTTCAGGTCAGACGCCCTCAGAACGAGACTTAAACGTTCTCACCACATCTCTTCTGTCTGTCCACCTGTCTGTTAGCCCAGATCCTCATCGTCTGCCCTATGCCTGCCCACCACAGGCTCACCTGAACCAGGAAGGGGTTCCTTCTTGCCCCGCCCTCCTTCTCGCTCCCCCCATCCCCCCACCGGCCTTTTCTTATTTAGCAGTTGCTGATCTTAACTGTGTGGTGGGCAGTGCTGGCCCCAGGCCTGAAAGCCTTGGTGTCCAGGCTCCTGGTGTGGCTGAAGGGTCCTGTATTTGGAGCCCCCTCCCACTGCGAAAGGCTCCCCTGCCGCCCCCGCTTCCTTGCACCCACCTTCCCTGCACACACTCACGCAGCTTCAGGGGAGAACATGGCGAAAGTGAATTCTCTCGCTCTGACCTGATGCTTGAAAATTTAACTCTTTAAGTCTTCCCTAATGATCTGGGGGCTTTAAAACCCATCCTTCCTATCTGATTGTGTGTGGACCATGAGGGCTGTGTGCCACCCGTGTTCATGGTGGTGCAGTGAGCAAGTGGGGTGGTGGGTGAGACTGGGCACCATGTCCTCCTGCCCGCCCTGCCCGTGCCCGTCTGCCCCAGCGCAGTCCAGCATCCAGTCTTGATCTTCCCAAGAGCCTGGGGTATGCCCAGCACTGGTGCAGGAAGGAGTTTTAATTTAACTTCTCTCTGCCTTCCACTTAACTTGGTGTCCTGTCCCCAGTACCCACCGTCCACCACCCATTTCTCAGTCTGCCAGGAGCACAACTGGGCGGGGGTTTCCGGGGCCTGGGACCATGGGAGGCCGCAGTTGTGTAGTGTGAAGAGCGTGCGCTCACAGCCCAACTGTCCTGGGTCAGATGCTGGCCAGCTGTAGGACTCAGGCTCTCTGGTACAGCAGGAGTGAGGATGGTGCCTGCCCTGGCTGCTGCTGGCCAGCCGCAGGCTCTCTCAGGTACAGCCGCTGGCCAACCGCAGGATCTCTGCCACGGCCGCTGGCCAGCCGCAGGCTCTCTCAGGTACGCTGCTGGCCAACCGCAGGCTCTCTGCCACGGCCGCTGGCCGGCCGCAGGCTCTCTCAGGTACGGCCGCTGGCCAACCGCAGGCTCTCTGCCACGGCCGCTGGCCGGCCGCAGGCTCTCTCAGGTACCGCCGCTGGCCAACCGCAGGCTCTCTGCCGCGGCCGCTGGCCAGCCACAGGCTCTCCCTGGTAGGCCGCTGGCCAACCGCAGGCTCTCTGCCGCGGCCGCTGGCCAGCCACAGGCTCTCCCTGGTAGGCCGCTGGCCAACCGCAGGCTCTCTGCCGCGGCCGCTGGCCAGCCACAGGCTCTCCCTGGTAGGCCGCTGGCCAACCGCAGGCTCTCTGCTACGGCCGCTGGCCAGCCGCAGGCTCTCTCAGGTACCGCCGCTGGCCAACTGCAGGCTCTCTGGTACTGTAGGAGTGAGAACGGTAGCAGGCCGGCTACAAAAATGTGTCCTGGGAGCGAGGCCCACGGGGCTGGTGAGGAGGGTGCAAGCTGCTCTTGGAGGTTAATCTGGTGGGGGCGCTGCAGTGAGAACAGTGGTTGGAAGGCTGTGGAGGGTGAGGAGGCCTGAGTCCCACCGGGAGAAAAGTGGCAGCTTCAGGAGGCTGCAGTGACCACACTGACAGGACTGATTCTGGGCAGACAGTGATGGGAAGGCCGTGCTTTCTCCCATGGTGAGGGGGAATTGGGAACTAGGCTGGGGTGCAGAGGATCCAGGGCTGGGCTGGGGGTGTGGAGCTGGGGGAGCGGGGGCTGGAGCATCAAGGGGACCTGGGGGCTGGCACCGACCACACTAATTGTGACCATGTTGCTTTCAGGGCAGCGGGCGGCATGCGGCGTGGAAACATGGGCCACCTCACACGGATTGCCAACGCGGTGGTGCAGAACCTGGAGCGGGGCCCCGTGCAGACCCACATCAGCGAGGTCATCCGAGGTGAGAGCCCTTTGGTCACACACCCTCTGGCCAGAGCTGTGTCCTGAGCGTCCCACCCCTTGGCAACTGACAGTCACACTAATGCCAAGGCAAGTGTGCAGGGCTGTCCCCTTGCCCCCCCCCGTCCACTCTTCCCTCACTGGACCTGGGTGTCCAGTTGAGTTAGGCCATCGTTCGCCCGAGACCCTGTCCCTGCCATGGGCTGTGGTGGTCAGGGCCGAGTGCGTGTCAGGTGGTGCCACAGGCCTGAGTAAAGAGCAAGGCCAGGCCTCTGGTCTCCTGCAGCTTGGCCCCAAGGGCAAGTCTACCGCCCAGGTCATTCTAGGGCGGGAACCTCAGCGTGGCCCCGAGGGCGAGTGCACCGCCCAGGTCATTCTAGGGCGGGAACCTCAGCGTGGCCCCGAGGGCGAGTGCACTGCCCAGGTCATTTTAGGGCGGGAACCTCAGTGTGGCCCTGTGCACCACCCAGGTCATTCTAGGGCGGGAACCTCAGCGTGGCCTCAAGCCTAATGGCCACTGAGCTTCCTCTTCACAGGGACAGAAGGGGCCACCGCTTTGCTTGGTTGCCACAAGTCTGTGCACCCACAGGGCAGCGCCCTTGAGTTTGGCCCTACTCCAACAAGCCCCAGCACCTGGACAGGCCCCGGGGGCCTCAGTCCTGGGGGCTGAGCGGCGACGCTTCCTTGCAGGGCTCCCTGAGGACTGCCGGGGGCGCTGGGAGAGCTTTGTGGAGGAGACCCTGACGGAGACCAACCACAGGAACGCTGTGGACCTGGTGAGCACGGGCTTAGGGACGTGGCACGTAGGCCACACACTGGTCCCCCAGGGCCGGCTGAGTGAGGACCCTGTGGGGAGCCGGGGGTGGTCGGCAGAGGGCCCCCGCTGCACTCCTACCCTGGCTGTTGCAGGTGAGCACGCACCACCTGCACTCCTCCAGCGAGGATGAGGACATCGACAGCGCCTTCCCCAGCGAGCTTTCCCTCCAGCAGGTGCGTGAGGTGCCGTGTCCTGAGACCTGCCTCCCGCTGTGACCCACGCCAGGGAGCCCCTTGCAGGGAATCTGTGCAGGGAACCTGTGGGAAAGCCCTGTGGGCAGCATGGGGGGACGCCCTGACAGGTGCTCATCCCCCAGGCCTTCTCGGAGTACCAGATCCAGCAGATGACAGCTAGTTTTGTGGATCAGTTTGGCTTCAATGACGAAGAGTTTGCAGACCAGGACGACAACATCAAGTGAGTCCCCCAACTCGTCAGTGAGTGGAGACTGAGGAGGACCGGCCTCAGAGCCCAGCCCTGGAGGGTTCTCCGAGTGGGTAGGGTGTTGTCACCTGCACAGGCCACCCGTGCTGCCTTCAGCTTGTCTGTCAGCCCATTGTCCCTGGTGGTCAGAGCGGTGCCTCTCCTCTGTCCACACCCGCTGCCAGCCACCCTGTCTGCTCCACCCCCTCCCACCACAGCGCTGTCCTTGTGTGAGTAGTTGTCCCACAGCCGCCTGAAGTCCCTCAGGAGGTGGCAGTGGGCAGGTGCCAGTGAACCACACAGGCCGCCCGTGGCCTCTGCCCAGCCTGGCTGTGGATGCTGCCGCTGAGGCCTGTCACTTACGGACTGAGAGCCTGGGCTTGACCACCTCCACGTCGAGGCTGGTCCTGGACCCCCCAGCTGACAGGCCCCAGACCCCCCGGCTGAGAGGCCCCGGAGCCCCTCCCCGGCTGACAGGCCTCAGAGCCCCCCAGGTGAAGAGTGCTTACCAATGGAAGAAAAGACAGGGTGCCCTGAGCCCACTCCAGGGTGAGAGGCTGTATCTGTCTCCTCAGTGCACCGTTCGACAGGGTGGTGGAGATAAGCTTCAGCACCGACGCAGATGATGACAGCGTGAGTAGGGGGCTGCGGGGCTGTACAGGGCAGGTGCCCGGTGCCCCTCTGTCCTTTGGTCCTGACAGAACGAGCCGAGGTGGGCAGGGATGTGGGCCAGAGGGCTTGTGGGAGCTGGTGTTCAGGCCTGCAGCTGGCACCCCCTGTCGCCCCTACCTCCCCAGCCAGGTGGCCAGGTGTTGTGGGCTCACAGCCCCGCAGACCTTCTGAAGCCACCTGGTGCCTCTCTGGCAGCCACACGCAGCGCTGTTTGAAGCCTGCTGCAGCGAGCGCATCCAGCCCTTTGATGACGAGGACGAAGACGATGACATCTGGGAGGACGGCGAGCCGAGCCAGTCAGCCCGGGTGACGGCCAGAGCCAGGTGCACACGCCAGCCCATCCTCACGGCCACTGGGATGCTTTATTTGAGTGTGTGCGTGGGTGAGGGGTGCAGACACCGGCCCTAAGGAGGCGGGGGTCCCGGGTCCTCAGGGTGCAGGGGGAATGGGCGCGGGGTGGGCCTGGACCAACCCTGACCTTCGGGGCCGTCACTACCCACCTTGGCCCCAGGCCGGCACGCGGGGAGGGGTGCTCAGGCTGGCACCGCGGAGCCTCTGACCATACGGGCCCTCAGGTTTGGAGCCCCCCGTGCCGCAGAGAGTGGCTCACAGAGCGGCCTAGAGTGTGGCGGTCACAGTGGGAGCGTGGATGCAGATGCTTCCCGGAGGGCCACTCTTGCAGCTGGGGGCAGCCGCAGCTCCGGACCCCTGGCCTCTGTCCAGAAAGAAGGCCCTGGCGTGGAGGGCAATGCAGAAGGTGGGTGCAGGGAAGGGGCGAGAGCAGTGCCGTGGGCTGGGGGACAGGGTTTGACCCTGCATGGCCCTGGCCAGGCCTGGGGGTCCCCTGCTGTCTGGTAGCCATGCCTGCACGCTTTCTCACAGACACCTGTCCCCACCCACCTGCTGTGGTCACTCAGACACGTGTGCACGGCTGCAGCCTCCACAACAGGACACGGTGCCACATGGGCTGTGGCCTGGCTCTGGCCTGGGAGGGTGGGGGGGTCTCTGTCAGCAGATGCCAGGCCCTCAGCTGAGGCTGATGAGGGCCCCCACCCCTGCACACTGGCTGGAGCACCCCATGTGCATACACGCCTGACTGCGGGTGCTTCTGGGGTGTCTCTGGTTTGATCCAGAACCACAAGCCACACAGGGTGCTCCAGAGGGACCATGGGCGGGCTGGGCGGCCACATTGACCTCTGGTGGGGTGGGGGCCCCACTCGCTCAGACTCCCTTGGCCTGGCTGCTCCATGGCCCTTGGGTGTCTGACCGCAGCAGTGGTTAGCAGTCCTGGGGACAGCCCTGTGCTCTTGGGTTGGGCGGGTTGGGGACAGCGTCCCCCACCCCCAGGACTGAGACCACACTGTGCTCCCTCTGCAGGTGCTGGGTGGGCCGCGATGTTTGATGAGCCTGTGAGTGCAGCTCTGCAGGCCCCTGGCGTTGCTCTGGACGTCGGCTCCAGTGTCTGGGCAGTCAGCATGCCTGGTGCCTCCGCACCAGAGGAAAAGGGCTGGGCCAAGTTCACCGACTTCCAGCCTTTCTGCTGGTAATGTCAGCGTGCACTCAGGGCGTCTCCCCAGGGGTGGCCTCCGGGGGGCGGGTGCCCGCAGCTCAGCTCACACCGGCTGCTCCGCAGCTCTGATTCGGGCCCCCGGTGTAGCTCCCCGGTGGATACAGACGGTGGTGATGTCCAGGGCGGCCCAAACCAGTGTCCAGAGAAAACCCGTAAGTCACAGCGGCACCCAGGAGGGGTTGTAGGCAATGCCACAGGACACAGACCACACCCATGCTTGTGGGTAGGGCCCCTCTCACCTCACCCTGGGCCTGCCCTTGGTGGTAATTTTGGGGTTCGTGTGACACCTTAGGAACTGGAGCTGCTGCATGCAGTCCACCCTGCCCCCTGCTGCAAGCTAGCCCTCACAGCGGAGAGGGCAGCAGCATTGGGGTCACACTGTGGGGGGCAGGTGAGGTCCCTCCAACTCCCCACCAGCCCTCCTTCCTCAGGGGTGCTTCCTAGGCCCCCGGGCTGTGTTCACCCCGAGTGGCCGTTACTGTTCCCAGTCAGGCAGGTTGGCTGCTCCTCAGGACCAGGCCCTGGGAGCCGGGTTCCCAATGAGTGGCTCTCAGGCCGTGCTGGGCAGAGAGGAGGCTGTGTGTCCCTATGCCTTTCCAGGAGTCAGGGTCCCTGCGGGTCCACAAGCCTCTGCTGCTTCCCATGTGGTGTCCAGAATACAGTGGCTTTTCCTGCCCCTGCGTGCAGTGCACGTGCACACAGGTGCACACGCATGTGGCAGGAGTGTGCGAGGAAGCGTTTTTGTGCAGACAGCTTTGCAGGCAGGAACTCCTGTATGTTCTCGACTGGCTCCCACAGCCCAAGTCATCTGTATGCTGGCCCCTCTGCCACTGTGTCCCGGCCTCTTTTCTTGCAGCCAGCCCAACCCACCCGAGTGCCTGGAACACGTGTGTCCCCAGGAAAGCACCTCCCATAGCCTCTGGTGGCAGCTGCTCTGAGACCTTGGACAGAGAGGACATTGAGCAGAACACAGGTAGCATCCGGGAGGGTGTTGGCTCAGACTTCAGCCAGGAGACTCCCCCACGGGCCACGGAGGCTGTCACTCGAAGGTGAGGAGGGTGGGTGGGCCAGGGCACGGCATGACCACCACCAGGCAGGGCCCAGGGGCGAGTAGGAAACTGGCAGTTCCTCCAGGGGTCTGTGGCTGTCCTGGGCTACGGGGGAGCACAGCCTTTGAGTCATTGTCCCCATACACTGGATGTCGCCTATGGCCTGTTGTTTTACATGAGCCTGCCTCTGCTCAGCCGCCTCGGAAATGTGTCGGCTCTGGCAGTGGGTGGGGGCGGCATGGACATCCTGGACGTCCTGACTTTGGACTGGGGAGTCGGGGCCATAGGTGGGCGAAAGCAGGAGGTCCTGGTTCCCTCAGCCCATCCCAGAACACAAGCGCAGCTGTCCGAGGAGGAGACAGGATGTAGGGTCAGCTCAGGGCTCCCAACGTTTGGAAGGAGGTGGGATTAGCTGAAATGTGCGGGGACAGAGGACAGGCCGTATGTCTCGTGAGGCGGTGTGTTTGGAACCCGGAATAGCCATGCCACTCCCCCCAGAGGGCAGGAGCTGGGAGGCAGTGTTTCCAGGCCACCTTCTGGATCCTCCTCCTGTCCCTGAGCATGTGGGGTGGGCAGCACTGGCGTGGGCCCGGCCCTTTTAATGAGCTGACATCCGTACACAGGGCCGACCACACGCCCAGCATGCCACTGGACTCTGCACCCTGGGGCCCTGCAGCCCACTCCATTACTGCAGATGCGACCAGCACAGCACTGAACGAGGCCGGGTCCCCCAAGGCTGCTCTGGTCACCTCCACCGCACTGGCCGTGGTGGCCCCCCCAGGGCCCATCGTGGCAGTCACCACAGTGGCCCCCCTGGGGACAAAGGACAGGTGAGCAGGTGGGCACGGGGGGCTCCCCTGCTGGCCCCAGGTTAGAACAGCTGAGCGAAGGCCCCAGCCCTGCCCCTCTTCCCGCAGGAAGACAGACGCGCCACCGTCAGTAGGAGCCACCGCGAATGGCCCTTTGTGACGCTGCTGCCACCAGGCCCCACTGCCACCCGGCAAGTACACTAGCTGGTGACGCAACTTCTCTTTTTAAGTTAATTTAATTTTGAAATAAATGCTGCATTGGTGGAGCTGGCAGTGGGAACCGTCCAACGCCCAGCTTGCGTCCCTCCTGCCGCGGCCCAGCACGGCCTGCCTTTGTGGCGGCTCCGCCTGCACAGCAATAAAGCCCACTGCCAGGCTCTGCCTGTGGGACTGGGAGCCGCCGGGCACTGGGAGGCCAGGAGCCGCCGGGCACTGGGAGGCCAGGAGCCGCCGGGCAAGGCCACACGTGCCAGGGCCCAGGACTTGATGGATGTGGCGGATGTGGCTGCCGCCCGGGGCTCCATTTTTACCATTTTTTTAATGAATGCAGGAAGAGCCACATCTTTGCACTTGGTTGTCCCGTGGCAGCGGGCAGCCGGTCCCCTCGGTCAGGGCCTCCTCCCACCTGGGGGGGGGGCGGTGTGCCTGGGATGGGGCGACCCCCAAATGCACTTGGGCACCAAGGTGTCTGTCAGGACGCGAACCTGGGCTCTGGGATTTGACTGCCTTAAACCCACCCTCGCAGCCTGGTGGAGTGGCCGAGCCAGGAGGGTGCACAGGAGGGGCTGGCGCGGCAGGCAGGGCCAAGGGCTGGGACTACGCCGCAGCGCTGCGTGGGGGTCCACTCTGGGGGCCGAGGTTCTGCGCTTACGTTGTGTTCACTTGACTGACAGGCCTCTAGCCCCGACTCCAATAAACAGCTGTGTCATTCTTACTGCGCAAACCCGTTTACTGGTGGGTTGGGGACCCAGGCCTGGGGGGTTCGCGCCTCTGCCTCCAGCACCTTTTTGCCCCGCCCCCACCACGCTGGTCCCCTAGGAGGGGCAGGAGTTTTTGTGCTGTGCCAGGTCTTGGGCCAGGACAGACCCAACCAAGTCCCCCAACTTTCCCCCAGGGTCTTCTCCCCCAAGCCCCATCTTACCCCAAGTGTCCCAACATGGACAGGTGGGGGGATACAAGGAAGCTGGTGCCTCAGGGTCACCCTGGCCATGGCGGGGGGAGGGGGGGCATTCTAGGCTTCAGGCTCCCACAGGGACCAGTGGACATGGTTGGGGGGAGCATGAGATGAGTCTCAGATGCTGGGGTCCTGGCCCCACTGAGTGGACACCTGGGACCCAACGGCACCACGCGTGTCCTCCATGTGTCCCCACCAGAACCGTCCCCTCGCCACGAACCTGTGCCTCAGACCTCACGGTACCCTTAGGTCACCACAGCCATCTCTCCCCAGACCCCCACCCACCGCCACGGCCCCTCAGATGTTGAGGCTGGATGCCCACACCCTGGCCCACCATGCCCCGTGGGCACCCACCCCAGGCCAGGCTCTGGCCCATGGGGCGGCAGCTCAGATGGCAGAGGAACCGTGACACACACCCACCTGCGTCCTTGGAGACAAACCTCAGCAGTAGGTCCCACTGCTTCGAGCACACGGGCCCTGTGCCCACCTTTCCTCCCCGTGTGACCTCCCCCCGGGGCCTCCTAACAGCCAAAGTCCCAGACTGGGGGCTGCTGAGAACACATGGAGCCCCCCCTTCCCCCAGCCGGGCCCTGGAGCTCGGAGGCAGCCTGTAGCCAGGATGGGTCCATTAGTTCTCTCTTTATAGACTCTCTTGTTCTGGGGACAGAGGTGCTGTTGGCCGGCTGGGGCCAGTGGGGTTCTGGGCAGGGGACTATTTACACGCCCCAAGGGGCTGTACCATGGCTGCCCGCCGCCAGGCCCACCAATAAGTTAAGTCTGTCGGGCCGGGCAGGGGGGACGCTGTACAAACTCAAGTGCTGGGGGCCAGGGCCTCAATACTGTCAGGGCCAGGGGGTCTGTAAACATGGCTGGGTGGCCCTGCCCCCCTCCCCAGTGGTCTGTGACACGGGAAGTGCCAGGTGGGTGAGGGGGTTGGTCAGGCATCCGACAGGCAGCTCTGGATCCGGTCGACCCACTGCTGGGCTGAGGGCACGTCCTGGGCACAGAAGTTGTAAACGCGGCGCGTCGTCTTCACCTGGGGAGGTGGGTCATGACTCCACGGCACGCAGAGCCCCCGCCCCCGTCCCGCTCAGGAGCCCCAGCCCCTGTGCTCACGTCAAAGAAGGCCTTCTCATCCACGGTCTTGGGGGCACCCATGGTAGGTGTGCCGGGAGCGACGGACTCCACCTCAGCCAGGTCGATTACGCCCTTGCACTCCGTGTCCACCCGGTGGTCGTAATAGCGCAGCTGCACGGTGGGGAGGGGGGCGTCAGGCAGGGCTGAGCCCCCACCTGGCCCCCACTCGGCCCCCACCTTTGCAGGCCACTCACCTGGTGCTTGGTCTTGTCTAGCACAAACCAGCGGGCCTTCCAAGGCTTCATGAAGGCCCCCTTCTTGTACAGGGTGCCCTCGTACGACCTGCGCGAGGACCAGGTGTCTGTCAGGGCCCAGTAGGGCTCTTGAGGCGTGAGACGTAGTAGCCGTTCCCGAAGGCCACAGCTGCCAGCCTGAGCTCAGGCAGGGGTGAGGGCTGTTCCCGAGGACGGGGAGGGGAGGGCTTCCAGCCACGCCCCTCCCATGACTGACACAGTCGGCAAGCCTCGAAGCAGCCGCAGCCCCCCTGTCCAGTCTGCTCACCTACCCCTGTGCCTGCCCCGCACACCTGTTCTCACTCTCTGCCATCTGGAACTGGCTGTAGAGGGTGCTGGTACTGCGGCGAGCTGCCTGGCGGGAGCCAGATGCCGTCGAGCTGCTGCTCTGGTCGCTGTCGAGGCTGAGGCTCAGAGTGGAGCCCACAGGCCCCTCCTGTAGGTACACGCCCAGCGAGCGGCGGTGGTGTGGCACGCTGGACACCAGCAGGGAGCCGGGGGGGCCCTGAGGCAGGGAGCCCAGTGTCAGGGCCCAGGGCCTCACCTGGGCAGCATGTCCCCCCATCCTGTCTTCTTCCAGATACCTCCACCCTTCTCCCCTCCCCAGCTCACACGCCCATCAGGCCGGCCTTCGAGGCGCTGGGCAGCCTTCACCCGGTCCCAGGTGTCCTTCCAGCGCTCGGGGGGTCGGCCCAGCTCTGTCTCCAGCCGCTGCAGCTCCTGGGGGCAGAGATCGTGCTCAGAAGCCAGGAAGGCCGGCCCAGCCTGGGCAGAGCCAGGGGACGAGGCAGAGGTCTGCTGGGGATGGAGGCCAACACAACACACACGCCCCTGACCCTGGCTGGACCACTGCCCCCCATGGGGCCCAGCAGGGCACTCTGCTCACTGGGCATTTCCCTTGGGAAGGTTCCTCCAGACACCGTCAGCCACACTGCAAAGGCAGCACACAGCAGCCAGGCTTCCAGTTCCATGTCGGCAAGAGATGAGGCAATGAAACCCATGCGGTCAGGGCAGCAGAGGGCATGGGGCTTCCCTGATGGGGATGCACACTTGGGGTCACTGAGCGCGTCTGCCTAACTCTGCTTCACCAGCTCAGCAACCCCCTGGATCAGTACCATCCCTGTCACTCCTGGCTAGACCCCCAACCTGCTCTACCTTCCCCTGGGGAGTACACAGGCGCTTGTTAGCAGTCAGCATGGTCTGACGCGGGAGAGGCCAGTGCCAGCACAGGAGAGGGCCCAAGAGGCCAAGAACCTACTTCCAACATGAACTGTCACCAGAATTCTTAGACTTGGTAGTTCTGCTTCTGGAATTGGTGGGCACGGTTGTCTGGGACCCCTCCACTCAACAGGACAAGGTCTGCACAGCATATTTTTCGAGCAGCCACCTGAAGGCATCAGAGAGCATTTGGCCCAGGGAAAGGTCCCCAGGGAATGGTCGAGGACCTGGACCTAGGGGGAGGAAACCCTGAAAGGGGGGCAGTTCCTCTGGGAACTGCAACTGGAAAGCTGGGCATCGCTCTACCAGGCTCACAGGTCTGGGGTTCTCGCAGTGAGGGGCCACCTCTAGGTATAAGGATGAAGTGGAAATGGGCCTGCCTCACAGAAAGAAGCCGAGCTTTACATTATTCAATCTTCAGTGAGGTTAAGATCTGGAATCACCAGTGCTTGAAGCAAATCCCCGCTAGGAGAACCCCAGCCAAAGCCCTGTCTCAATGGGTTTTCACTTACGATGTCAGGTACTAAAATGAAAAACATGCCCAGAGAAGACATGAGGTGACCAGTATCTAAGAGAAAAAACAGACAACAGAAACAGAGGCGACCATATCACAGAGTTATCTGTCACTAATTTCAAAATAACTTTGGTCAATATGTTCAAAAATTAAAAGGCAAAACAGACTTTGGAGAAAGAACTAGAAGCTATTAAAGGAACCAAATGAAGTCCTGATGGACACTGTAACGTGAATGCTCCTTGAAAACATTACGCTGAGTACAGTAAGCCAGTCACAAAAGGAAAATACCGTATCATGGACTGAACTGTGTCCCCCCCAAATATCTGTCAACTTGGCTAGGTCATGATTCTCAGAATTGGATGACTGTCTACCATTCTGTCATCTGATATGATTTCCCTATGGGTTGTAAATCCTGACTATGACATAGTAAGATGGATTAATGGCAGTTGTATTGATGAGATCTACAAGATTAGGTAGTGTCTTAAGCCAATCTCTAGACATAGAAAAGCGAGCAGAGAGACATGGGGACATTATATCGCCAAGCTGCACCAGGAGCAGAGTGCGTCCTTTGGACCTGAGGTTCCTGTGCTGAGATACTCCCAGACCAAGGGAAGACTGATGCATCACAAGGACCCTCCTCCAGAGACGACAGAGAAAGCCTTCCCCTGGAGCCGGCACCCTGAATTTGGACTTCTAGCCTACTGCACTGTGAGAGAATAAGCTTCTCTTTGTCCAAGCCATCCACTTATTTTTGTTATAGCAGCACGAGATGACTAAGAATTTGGTAGCAAGAAAGTGGGGTGCTGCTTTAAGAGATACCTAAAATGTGGAAGCGGTTTTGAAACTGGATAGAGGTGCAGCAGTGGCAGAGGATCAGCAGCAGCAGAGAAGCAGCAGCAGCAGAACCAGGAGACCAGTGCCAGACAGGGCTGGAGCCGACCCACGACCCAGGAATGAGAGAGCTGAGTGCTTGTGTGCAGGAGGCTTCCGGGCAGAGGGGGGTGCCTCTGGGCACTTATCGGTGGACCTACAGAGCTTTGGAACACTCGCCCCAGCAGGGCAGATGCAGGTGGTGAGGCCTGAGGGCCGAGAGTCCACAGGAAGCAGAAGCTGAAGAGACAAGGAACACAAGAAGCCAAGCTGCCTCAGTCTCAAAAGGTATGGCCATGACCTCAAGGGTTTCAAAGGGTGGAGCCATGGCCTCTGGTGTTTCTAAGGGTGGAGTCACCACACAGATGGACTAGGAGAATGGTGCGCCTAAAGCCAAGGGAGCAGAACTGCTGTACCAGTGGGCCTGGAAGGCAGAGCTGAAGCCCAGGGCCGAGGGGCCTCCACTCAGAATCTGGAGACTGTGGCCAATACCTGGAGTCTGGAGGGCAGGGCTATTGTGTAATGGTCTCAGAGAACAGAGGATTATCTCCAAGCCTTGAGGGCTAATGTGTTCTGCCCACTCGCTTGGTGCCTGTTACGCCTTCTTTCCCTCAGTTTCTCCCATTTGTAATGGAAATGTCTAGCTTGTGCCTCTTCTGTCATTGTACTTTGGAAGCAGATAACTTGTATTCCAGATTTCACAGATGAGGAGGAATTTTTTGGATTTTGGACTTGGAGTTGATTTAAGACACTTGCTATGATATGATGGGGAGAATGTGTTTTACATGTGGTAACGACATGAATTTTGGGGGGCCAAAGGATGGAATGTCATAGATTGAATTGTGTCCCCCCAAAATATCTGTCAACTTGACTAGATCATGATTCCCAGTATTGTATGATTGTCTACTATTTTGTTATCTGATGTGATTTCCCTATGGGTTGTAAATCCTGTGATTGTGATGTAATAAGATGGATTAGTGGCAGTATATATTGATGAGATCTGTAAGATTAGGCAGTGTCTTGGGCCAATCTCTTTTGAGGTATAAAAGAGAGAAGTGAGCAGAGAGACATGGGGACCACATACCACCAAGAAAGCAGCACCGGGAGCAGAGTGTGTCCTTTGGACCTGAGGTTCCTGCGCTGAGATGCTCCCAGACCAAGGGAAGACTGAGGACAAGGACCTTCCTCCAGAGCTGACAAAGACAAGAAAGCCTTCCCCTGGAGCTGGCACCCTAAATTTGGACTTCTAGCCTACTGGACTGTGAGAGAATAAACTTCCCTTTGTTAAAGACACCTACTTGTGGTATTTCTGTTATAGCAGCCCTAGATGACCAAGATACTGTGTGATTTCACTTATATGAGATAAGCAAACGTATAGAAAATATAAAGATTATGAATGGTTACCAGGAGTGGGAGGGAGGAGTACGGGAGTTTTTGCTTAGGGGGCATAGAGTTTATGTTAATGGTGGTGGGACAACTCAGAAAAGGATAGTGATAACAGTTGCACAAGGTGAAGACGACAATCAGTGTCACTGGATTTTACACACAAATTGTTGAAATGGCAAATGTTTTGGTGTGTATATACTCACCAGAGTGTAAAAAAAAGCCTTGAAAAGTTCAAGAAAGTTTTAACTGTGTACAAGAAAGAAACCTAAAAATCTCTAAAGAAAGACAGCAAAATCCTGATTCTCAACAATGTAGTATCTACAATGTACAGCTTGCAATAAAAAATTATTAGACAACAAAAACAGGAAAAAGGGACCTAGGAAAAATGTTTGAAAAAGAAACAGACCCAGAAATGAAACAGGTATTGGAATTAGCATATAAGAATTAAAAAGTTATTATAAATATGTTTCAAGATTTAAGGCATAGATGATTGAGGCACATGGGCAATTTCTACAAAGAATGAAAACTACAAAACTGAATGGAAATTATAGATTGGAGAAACACAATTATCTACAATGAAAAATTCGTTAGATGGGCTTAAGGGCACATATTAAACACAAGAAAGAAAGAAACTGTCAACATTAATACAGGACAATAGAAATCAAACTAAATTGCAGAGAAAAAAGATCAGAAAAAAACAGAGTCTCAGTGACCTAAGGGACAATATCAAAATCCCAGAAGGAGAGGAAGGAGAGATCGTGCAGAAAAATTTTCTTTAGAAATAGTGGCCTAAAATATATTAAGTTGAATGAAAACTATCATCCCAAAGATTTAAGAAGCTCAAGGAGTCCCAAGCAGAATAAACACAAAGAAAAACCACATCATGGTCAAATTGCTGAAACCAAAGATAAAGTCGTAAAGGCAGTCAGGAAAGAAAAAAAGAAGTGACATTATATACAGCTGACAAGGATAAGAATGAACACTGACATTTAATCAGAAATACAAGCCAGAAGACAGTGGAATGATACCTTTTAAGTGCAGAAAGTAAAAAGATGTCAACCTAGAGTTCTACATCCAGAGAAAACACCCTTAAAAAAATGAAGGCAAAATAAAGACACCTTAAGATGCACAAAAGCTGAGGGGATCTGTCAGCTGCAATCCTGGATTACAAGGATATTAAGTTCTTCAGCATGTAGGGAAATGGTACCACATGGAAACTCGGATCTACATGGAAAGTGTGAAAAATATGAGAAATGGTAAATGTACAAGGTTTTTCTGTTTCTTAATTTCTTTAAAACGCAAGTGAGAGTAACATCATGAAAGACAGCAGAGCCAGAAGCTCCAGGAACTGGCGCGTCCATCTAAACAACTAATACACTGGCAGGAACTACACGAATCAACTGTTTTGGAACTCTAGACATGTCTAGGGGAGAGCCTGATGAAGGGGCTGGTGAATGGCAGTGAATTCTGGTATTTCAACATTATCCCCAGCCCCATGGCAGGCAGCTCTGGGGATTACTGCCTGCATTCATGGTGCCCAGTGCAGCTTGCTGGTAGCAAGGCAGGTAATAAGGGCCTGGTCCTCAATCAGGGTTGTGTGTTTTGATTGCCGAGGGGCCAGCACAGAGGGCGGCTACTATTTCAACCTCCGTGAGCTGACACAGCTTCCCTGCTTTTCCCCCCCTTTCCTTCTTTGGGAGTCAGACATTTAAGGAAATCTTTATCAAGTCAT